TACTGAGAATGGAGAACCATGAAACCATTTCTCATTTCGATTTTAGTGATCAAAATGCATGTGTAGAATGAATTAAAGAAAATTAAACTAGACATACATTAAAGAGATCTGCCGATAGAAGTACTAAAATCTTATAACTTATGTACACTATTAATTTTTTTTTGTGGTCTGTTCGACGTCCCTTCATGGGGTGATGTAAAGTATCAAATCACCATTACAAGTGATTTCTCACGTTACGGTTATATTTATCTACTACATGAAATGACTCAATCACTGGACTATCCAAAGATATACATTGATGAGATGAAAAAGGTAGTTAGATAAATAAATAAAAGTTGTGAGATCTCACTAGATTGGTGAATATTATTGTAAGTTCAATGAAAGAGGATAATGTCCTAGTCCATTTGTAAAGATTCTTGAGATTTGAAATATTAGTGTGCAATACACAATGATTGATACTTCTCAACGTAATGGTGTTGCTGAGAGGATAAACCGTACTTAAAAAGATATGGTTATGAGTATGTTGAGTAATTCAACATTAACGTTTTCTATGTGGATGAATTAGTTAAAGATTGCTGCATATTGGATAAATTAGGTTTTTATTTAAAGTAGTTCATAAAATAACTTATGAACTGTGGAAGGGTAGGAAACCTAGTTTGAGGCATCTTCATGTTTGGGGTGTCAAGCAGAAGTAAAAGTATATAATCTACATAAAAAGAAACTTAATCCTAGGACAACCAGTGGTTATTCATTGGCCATCCAGAAAGTTCTAAAGGATATAAGTTTTATGGCCCTAACCATAGTACGAGAATAGCTGATTGCGAAAATGCTCGATTTATTAAAAATGATCAAATCAGTGGGAGTTTGGAATCACAAAGTTTGGATGTCAATGAAACTCGGGTTGAACAGTCCAAACCTAAGAGTCCATTAATGGTTGTTATTCTTCTAGTTACATTACTGTCATATAACTTAGATGAATAATAAAAATGATCCAAACTCACTTGATAATGAATCATCACAAGCAATCAGAATTATAGAAAAACATTTGGTTGATGAATCTCAAGCCATTAAGAAAAATAATAATAATAAAATTCTGGAAAAGTTTATCAATGCCATGAAAAGATAATTACAGTCGATGGATGACAATAAAGTTTAGAATTTAGTAGAATTACCTGAAGGATCTAAAAGAGTTGTGTGTAAATAGGTTTTCGAAACCCAACATGAATCTAAAGGTAATATCAAAAGATATAAAGTTAGACTTATTTCTAAAGGTTACACCCGAAAGAAAGGCATTGATTACAAGGAAACATTCTCTCTCGTTTCAAGAAAGATTTCTTGAGAATTGTAATGGTAATAGTGGCTCTGTATGATTTTGAGCTTTATCGAATGGACATAAAGACCACCTTCTAAATGATAAACTTTAAAGGAGATCTACATGAACTAATTAAGAGATTTGAGATCACAAATGAAATGTGAGTGTGTAAGTTGAATAGATCGATATATGGACTAAAACAAGCCTTTCGTCAATGGTATCTTAAGTTTAATAATATCATCACTGCTTATGGTTTTGTAGAGAATACCGTAGACCGGTGTATCTATATTAAGGTCAGTGGGAGTAGTTTTGTTATTTTATTTCCATATGTCGATGACATATTTATAGTTCCTAATAATGTGGACATGTTACACGAAGTAAAAGTATTATCTCTCTAAAAATTATGAAATAAAGGATGTGGATGAAATGTACTTGGTAATTGGAATAGAAATATTCTGGAATAGATTACTAGGACTAAAAGTTTTATCCCGTAAAAGTTTTATTTGAGAGATAATAGATGGTTGTTCCGTAAGAATAAATTCCAATTCATAAAAGGGACATATTTAGTCTAAAATAAATGTCCGAAAGGTGAAATGGAATGGAAAGTGATGGAGAAAATTCTTTAGATATAAATGACTAGGAGTCTTAAGCGAGACGAACTTGTATTTGGTTTGATTACATATTTGTTGTTGGTACGTTAAACAAATATAAAAGGAAACCCTGAATGTTTATTTAAATGTTGCAATGAAATTTCTAAAGTATTTACAAGGCATTAAAGAACACATGCTAACTTAAAGAAGATCCAAAATTATTTGTTATAATTGGATATTCGGATTCAGACTTTTGCTCATAATGTCTAAAGGAGCAAGATTATGGAAAAGTGGAACAAAGTCCATCATCGTGACTTCCACTTAAGTTTGAGTTTGTGGTATGCTTTGAGGCCACAAGTCAAAATTTAGGGCTACAATGTTTTATCTTAGGACTTGGAATTGTCGACATCTTGTCCAAGCCGCTAAGAATTATTGTAATTTTGTAGCAATATTATTTCAAGGAATGACAAGTATTTAAAGGGTGTGAATCACATAAAATTGAAATACTTGGTCGTAAAAGTAGAAGTGAAGAACTAAAGTGTCATTTGAGCATTCTAGTACTACATGCATGAAAGCGGATCCATTAAAGGGTTATTCCCTGTAGCCGTAGCAAGACATATAAAGAAAATTGGGAATAACGAATAGGGCCTTGTTAGACTGACCGATACTGAATGAAATTGCTCAATTATTCATTTGACACTTATTGAATTTAATTAAAGATGTTTGATTCTTCAC